TGGGCGCGTTTTGACGCGTCTCATTGGCTCCCTCAGCACACATATCCATGGGGAGGCCCTCAACGCGTCCAGTGGTCATGTGGGCCCCCAACCAGCTGACTCTGCCCATCCAGGGGGACATGGCAAAAGAGATGCCATATCTTGGTGAGTTCTCCATCGTTCAAGACGGTTCCGGGCTCGTTCTGACACTCCAGCACCAGCTCTAGATGTCCGCTCAAACGCCTAAGCCATTCGCCGTTGTTTGCCCTCCCTGCAGGCGCTGCAGTGGTGCCAAACCACCACGAGGTGGGGAGATCATATCTCGGTGAGTTCTTCACCTTATATCCTGTTCTTGGGCTCGTTCTTACTCGCCTAGGGCTCCACAACATGGGCGCGCCGTTTGCGAACAGGCCGCTTGCGAATCGTCCTCCCCAACGACGAGATACTGCCTCATGGTGCCCTTCAGGAGGGGGAGCATATCTCAGTGAGTTCACCGCTGATTTGGATGATCTATAGCGTGTTCCCCATCGCATTTAGGCCCTGTACATGGGACCGCTTAGTGCGTACCGGCTGGCTGCGAGTCGAGGGCCCCTCATCGAGATACTTCCCCCAGAGACCCCTCAGGAGAGGGTGTCATATCTCAGTGAGTTCTCCATCGTTCTGCTTGATCTTGGGCTCGTTCTTAACTGCATATATGTCCAGGACATGGACACACTGTCCCTCTGCGAATCGCTTGCGGATCCATTCCCTCAGCATCGAAATACTTCCCCATCTCCCCCCTCCCCTCTAGAAACTTGTACAAGTGTAGATGGTTGTGTAGAAGTTTATATTGATCCAATGCCACTCTATCTACACTCTATCTGATACATTGGCTTGCTACTTGATTCCTGAGCACACTAGTCAAAGGTAGACTGATGAGCACTGCCTCAAGCCCCCTTTCTTCTTGACCACCATGAGCACCACTTCAGTGAACCTCTATCCTGGTATTCAGCAAGCTCTCAGCCATTTATCATCCTCAGATGAGATCCAGATTGAAGATGAGATGGATGGTGAGCAGGAGTCCTTTCCAGGAGACCAGCAGTTGGCTTTGGATGGTCAGGGGTTGGGAACAGAGCTTCGAGATGTGATCTTGGGTGCTTCAAAGGGCGTTACTGAAGGGACTGCTGCACACTATGAGCGGTATGTTATCTGAACCTCTTCCTCATCTTAGAGGATGACCTGGTGCTGCCCAGCTTAATGGCTCAGTGCAAGAAGTTTGCAATTGAGAAGAAGTTTGTTCGTGCAGATGGGGAGGTCTTCAGCAAGGCACCTCACCGAGATACCCCACTGTGGATAATTGCCTGGATCATGGATGCGTAAGCCAATCTGTATGCCCCTCACTGTTTGCTGACTCAATCATGGCTCTAGATGTGACGTGATCCGTCTTGACGCCTCTCCAAAGCTGTCAACGGATACACGTAGCTCATACTCTCACGCGCAGAAGATGCGAGCTGCCATGACATATGCATTTGGGCGTGTCCATGGCTTAGGCTCTCTTGCGTGGCATGAGAGGGATGATGGGACAATGCAAGGAAATCCTTCAATATCGAATCAGGTATCTGCCTATATGCTTAGCTTGCGTCGACGAAAGGTGAGCACAATAGGGTGTATACCGGTCCTTGATTCATGTCTGACATTGTTAAAAGGTTCACGCAGGAGAGGCAGCAACTAGTGCACGGGCTATCACCCAGGTGAGATTTTTTTAACCGTTCTGTTTTCAAGTATTCACTTGTTACAAACATGTAGGACATCTTAAAGGACCTTTACAATTTTAACCACCGTCCTGAAAACTGGGAGATCAAACAATACTCTCCAGGTAAGCGCAAGAATGCAGCAGATCAAGAGGAGGAAGTGCCGTGGGCTGGTGGGAACACCCGTCGACTTCTCTTTGCTGCATTCACCATTGCATATCTATGCCTGCTACGAGTCGACGAAGTCTTGAAGATCAAGTTCTCTCACCTTCAATGGGACGCTCATGACGACAACCTGATTGTTCTGACTCTTCCATTTCGTAAGACCAGTCAGAATGGTGGTGAGTTCTTTTAGACGCCTTTTCTCTTATATCTGATGACTAGCTATTCTGACAGACATCAAGCCCTTTGTCTTGCGCCGCCTTCCTGACTATTTCCAACATCTCTGCCCAGTTCGTGCATTGTGTGACTGGATTCTGGCCTCACAGCTCTCCAGTGGATATGTCTTTCGAAAGGTGTTATCTGGAGACCGCTTCTCCGCTACCGACATTGCCATGGTGAGTCATCTGCATTACATGGGACCTTCTCTTGCACATGCTCACACCCTTTTCAGACAAGCGAGCAGTTCTTGGAGCTCTTCCGGAACAGTCTCTTGGACATTCGGTTAGATCCATACCCATATGGAACTCACTCTTTCCGTCGTGGTGGATGTCAGTTTTTGCATGGAGATCTCCGGTGGAGTCTCCGTCGACTCTGTGACTGGGGAGGATGGAGCACCGATTTCACCCACTTGACTATAGTCAAGTATCTCATCTCCTGGAACGACGAGCCTGGAGAAAAGAGGGAGGACTTTCTCAACTTAGAGAGGCCACCCTCTCTCAAGTGCCCATCCTGTGGAAGAAGTTGCTTATGTGCATACTGATTATTGTAGTATGTAGATATAAGATGGCTATATATATAGTCTAGTATTGAATGTCTACTCCATGGTATGAAAGTGCTTTGCAATGGCAGACGGTTGACTGAGCACATGAGTCTTTCCATGCTTCTCATATGTGAACTGATCAGCAAAGTTTGAGCCATACTGAGCACGAGCTGCCTCAGCTGCCTCAGCGTTCCGCTCCTTGTTGCGCCTCTGCAACTCACTGAGGATGGCAGTGTAGCTAAGACGCTCACCCTTGGAGTTGGTAAACTCCGTCCAGAACAAAGTCGGAGTTGTCCCCAACCAATGCTCCGCAATCAACTGAAGTGTTTGTCACTCATCTGCAACAGCCAACAATGTACAAGTACTCACCTTGCGTTCATGCCAACGCTTTTTCAACCCGTTCCACTGCTGGGGCTTGCAGTAATAGAGCTCTCTCCAATGGACCAGCGCAATTGGGTGCCCATGGATGCTGAAGGGGGCCTTGCTTGGATCCCAAAGAGGCGAAGTATCTGACCACATGGGGGGAAGGCTCTCAAGATCCTTAGCGAAGGAAAGAAATGGCGGTTCAGGAACATCGTGAGCAGTGAACAACAAGCGGAAGCCATCCCCAAGGGTCAAGGTGAATGATTTCAAGGGGAGAGGTGGTGTACCAGAGATGGTGGGAAGGACAGGCAGTGGAGTAGAAGGGGCAGAGGAGTGGGCTGTTGGTGTGGAAGGAGACGGAGATGGCAGAAGGTTCAGGCGGCTGGTGACAAGGGCAAGCGAGTCTTTGATATGCTGAATATCTCCCTAAGATAACCATTCAGACTCCCGACAGGACAGTCAGCAGGAGGGTAAACACGTACGTGGGCAATAGTGTGACCTGAGACAGCCACAGATGGAGCAGGAGCGCCATGGCCAACTCTTGTCACCTGCCTGACTGGGTGTTCAGGAGGATGGTAAGGGTTTTTGGCCTTGAACCGTTCAGCCTGCCATTGCGGTCAGATGAGAGAGAGAAGTGAGTGGCATGTCACTCACCCAAGCCAGGATGCCGTTCTTCTCCTCTGTGGTCCGATTATCGAATGCATCATCTGTTGGCAAGACAGAGAGCAACCGTGACGAGGAGCCGACCTCTTCGAAAAGCTTGTTACGGCGAAGGGTGGACTGCTTTGGCTTCGAACGGGCCTTGGTAATTCCACTGGGATTACGATGGGCCTTGGTAGCACCAACCCAGAGGCTGATAGTGTTGAAGATGGTCAGCATCTTGTCCCAGAGGAGATCAGAATGGGCACTCACCTGTCCCAGCAACTTGGGTCACTGCTGAACGCACGAAGACGAGCAGTCATCTCTGCCTTGTTCCCACTCTTGGCAAGCTTGAAGCCAGCACACCACTGCTGCAGGACAGCATTCCTCTGGTTGCTGCAGGAAGCAGTGAGGACCTGGCCATGGCCCACCACAAGACAGAACCACTCACATATCAAGGTACACTGTGGTGAATTCTCCATCAGGTGTGGGCTTTCCCGGAAACGGTAGCACAGAATCCGAAGGCTTCGAGACCGTGGGAACGACCTGCCCAGTTGGGACCACCCCATCAGATCCATCAACCTCCATTCCCGAGCCGTCGTCGTCCATTTCCGAGCTGTTCTTGATGGGTGCGCAGGGTCGGACCAGGTCGAGAGCGAGAATGGAAAGGGCGGGGAGGAGGGTGAGAGAGAGAAGGAGGAAAAGGAAAGGGAGGGAGCGCGCCAGCAGCGCATCAGGGACCCCGACGGCGCCAAGCGCAGGGCCCTGCGCGCCCGTTCCGTCGGGAGCTGCAGGGAACGGCCTGGAAACGATCAGAAACGACGTCAGCGGGCCGGATCAAAGGGTCTCAGGGTCCAGGGCCGGACCCAGGGCGTGGGACCGTCCGGCTCCCCCCTTTGGGAACCGTCCTTTTCCAGAGAGAAGTGGTCGTCGGGCAGGTTAAAGGCCATTAGCTCTGCGGAACTGATATTTGACAAACAGTCGCCGAGACTAGGGCATCGGCGGGCGCCAAGTGAGAAGGTGGTGCATACCACCGCGGCCGAAAAAAATTCGAGGTTTACGTCGAGAAATCTTGGGATGTGCACCATATGTGTTACGCGCCAGACTCCAGAGTGTGGTGATACGTGCTAAGCTGCTTCGATCGTGATCGGATTTGATCGGATTCGCCCGACACATGATGAGTCAACTGGGGCACGTGACCACGTGACCTTGACGCCATTCTCCGCCCAAACCGTGTGGTTGCGTGAAGCTGGCTCATGATACGAGGCTTATATAGACCCTTGGCAAGGCCATCGATGTCGTTCCTCTTTTCCCTCTTCTCCTCATCAGCCTCCTCGTCGAATTCTTCATCAGCTCAACGCCAACTCATGTCTGCCAAGTCTCTTGTGGAAGTGGGTCTTCTGTCGCACTAACGCCTTGCGAGACGTTGAACGAAGATATGCGTATTAGGATGCCATCGCCGGGCACACAGTGGCAATCTTCTCCAAATCGTACTGCCCGTACTGCAAGCGAGCCAAGCAGCTTTTCGCGAGCAACTACGCCGACGTCGATACCATCATATACGAGTATGTCAAGTATCTTGGGCCAATGGCACTGATGTAGACAATGGAGTTAGGCTAGACGATCGCGACGACGGAGCTCAGATACAAGACTATCTTGCAGAGAAGACCGGACAACGAACCGTACCTAACATCTTCGTCAGTACGTATTGCTCGTTTTCTCACTCTTTGCACAAATGCCTGAGACGATTGTTCCTAGACCAGAAACATGTTGGAGGTAAGCTTTGTCAACGGAATCTCATATCACGGCGTCATTCATGCGTTCCCAGGGAGCTCCGATGTCGCTGCCTTACAGGACAAGGGCGAGCTCAAGGCGTTGATTACCGCGTAAGACCATCGCGTTTTATTTCGCAAACAAAGTCCCCACAAATGAAAGATGATGTATATCCAGAAGATCACGCTTGTAAATTCGCACTTTCAAGAAGGGTGTAGACCTACCGTTTGTGAGGCATTGAAAGTACCCCCTCCCCGCATTGTCATCCACATGTTCAGATGCTAGCATCGACGTCAGTTGGTGGATTCAAGGCTGGCAACAATGTTGTCGTAATGGATTTCACTTGGATTTCACGCGTTACGAAACTCTGCGAGTGCTCTCAGGTCTCAACGGCCGCCGGGGCGGCAAAGGACTTGAAATAATCGCTGTCCAATATAGTAGCTGCCGATCCATGTCTTGAGTGAGTACAGCAACGCCACCTTCGTGTTGAACGCACGTACGCCAGGCTGGCAGCCATTGGCTGAGGAGGCGCCATCAGTCATGGGATGGGAGCATACCCTCTCTTGAAATATCACCTTCCATTTCTCTCGAGAGTGCCGAAGTTTCCCCCGTGCAGCGTCCGGTGCTCATACGGGCCGAGTCCGTGTAAGTCTATCTGTGATCATGCCTAATGGCGAATCAGTTCCCCATGCTGACTACAGCACCCCACAGCAGATAAGACGTCGATTGGGTTATCATTTTCGCCCAAATCTATTGCCGTCCGCCCTCATGCCTCCAGCTGAAGTCAAAATCGAGTATGATACGAAGGGTATGCCCTTCCGCCGCCTAGGCTCCAGTGGATTGAGGGTGCCCGTGTTCTCGCTTGGAGGATGTAAGTGAGAGTGTACGCATAAGGCAGATCGACGTTGATATATTTCCATTTGCGTAGGGCTCACTCTTGGCGGCACTGTTGTCGGGGATCCAGTCAAGGCATGTGGCGCGAGGCTGCACTCATGGCGAGTAAGGTGCATGGATGATAATCTCGGCTATAGGACATAATCAAAACTGCTTTCGATAATGGCATAAATATGTTCGATACAGCAGAGGAATACTCAAAAGGCAAATCGGAAGAGGAAATGTATGTAAACCTCATCATTCTACACGGCGTTATGCTGCGACCTGATCAACTCTGTTTTGTGCTGCAGGGGGCGTGTCATCAAAGAACTGGGGTTTCGCAGGTCCGACCTTGTCATCACTACAAAGATCTTCTGGGGCGTTCGACCTGGACCCAACGCTGGCGGACTGTCGCGGAAACAGTAAGCCTCCTACATGAATCTCGTCTACCAAGGTATTGACCGAGCCGCGTTGATAGCATCATTGAAGGAACATTAGAGAGTCTACAGAGATTACAGCTCGATTATGTTGATGTGATCTTTGCACATCGCCCAGACCCAAATGGTGCGTGTTCGGTCCATGCGTCCCCACGGGTTGACAACCCAAACTGACGTGTGAGTGAACGCGTGCGCAGTTCCAATGGAAGAGGTGGTTCGAGCGTTTAACTATGTGATAGAGAAAGGATGGGTGCGTCCATTTTGCGCCTTAATCTTGTTTTGTTTTGTCCTGATTTTGTGTTTAGGCTTTCTATTGGGGGACGTCTGAGTGGTCGGCCCGGGACATCGAGGAAGCGCATCGTGAGTGTTCTAAGCAGTAGAACTGTCGGCTGTTGAAGTTCTGTCCTCGCTTAGACATCGCTTCCAAACTCCACCTCATTGCACCCGTCGCTGAACAATGTCAACACCAGTAAGTCGTGGGCCTTCCTTGCGTTTGTTTCCCTTTCTCGACGCTCACATGTCAATCCGTCCATAGTATGTTCCACCGAGAGCGCCCCGAGAAGGAGTACAGGTGACTGCTCACTTGCGCCTTTTTGCTCTTCGAGAAATCTAACCCGGAGGCTTTAGCCCACTCTACAAGCACTACAATATGGGTACCACGGTCTACTCGGGGCTTGCCATGGGTCTTCTTACAGGAAAGGTACGCTTCCCTTGAACGTCTAGCCTACGTGGGATCTGATCGCTGCTACTCCTGCTCCCCGCCTCATGCTCCGCACGACACTTAGTACAACGATGGGATCCCGGAAGGATCTCGACTCGCGACCATCCCTCAGTTCAGTAATACGGCCAAAAACCTCCAGTCCGAAGAGGGTCTCGCAAAAATCGGCAAAGTCCGTAAGCTGACCGAATTAGCGGAAAAAGGCGAGTGCTTCGCCCTTTGCATCGTCATTGGCAGCGTCACTGGCTAGCGAAACTAAAATGCGGTTTGTTTGTAGAGCTCCAATGCTCGGTTGCTGCCCTTGCGCTGGCGTGGCTCGTAAGGAACCCGAATACGAGCACTGTGATCCTCGGTGCTTCTAGTCCTCAGCAGGTCGTAGATAATCTGAAGGCGCTGGAGGTGATCCCAAAACTTACGCCAGAGATCATGGAGAAGATAGAGAAGATCTTGGATAACAAGCCTGAGCCCTTCGTATGTATCTGACCCGCCCTTGCTGTCGTAATCATACTAAGTGAGGTATCGCGACAGCCGACCCATAGTCGTCCGCCTCTAGACTTTTTCGGCAGGCTCTGATTTGTTGTGTCAACTGTGAAGACAGCCTAACTGTATGTAACCCGAATGTGTGTTGCACTAAAAGTAAATTGTTATCTCTCAAGCGCCTTACTGATGTGATGTCATGCCCCCCGCCATTTTTCCTTCACAACGTTATGAGAGAAATGAAAATGAAGGGTTCGGGTTCTGAGAGAAAATCATATCTTTGAGTGGTGTTGCGTAAATCTTCTAAGTTGGGTTTTGAACAAGTGTCCCGGGGAGCTCAGGGGAGGCCGCCTCTATTTCTACATTTGGTGAAGGCGGCGCGACACGATGCACGTGTGTGCGCCGGCCATTGCCGTAGTCACGTTTTCCTCACCAGAAATTAGCGCTGCCCGCCGCGACCGCCTCGTGTTCGCTGCCCCGCACGAATGCGGAGACCGACGACCAGCTCTGCCGACCGCCGCTAGTAAATGTTTCTGGCTGATCGTTCATGATTATAGTCCTCGATTCTTACCATGTCCTCGACGTCCTACTCCCGTCCAAGCTCGGCAGCGCCTCCATCGCCTACGAACACGAGGCCCAGAAGCCCATATACCCCGCTGCACCCTAGACCGCGAGGTGCAAGTCGATCAAATACCCCAATAATTGCACGAGATCGTGGTCCTTATGGCCCTGTCCCAGACGATGGTTCTCAAGCCATTTACGAAATGCTTTCCAATAGACATCGCCGCGAGGACGTCTCATCAGATGCAGCCATAGCCCGAGTAGTAGCGGAAGACGAGATCATGGACTGGTCTTCTAGAAACTCCCCGAGACCCCCTTCTCAAGCTTCAGTACGGGCGTCGAATGGTATTGGGTTGGGATATCCAGGACGAGCGAACACGCCAGGCCAGATTTCCCGACAGCGGAGCGATTCTGCGCCTCAGAAGTATCAGATATGGAGACCGCCAAGTGCCGCTGATGTGCGTACTGTTCCGCGAGCTCCTAGTCGATCTTCCATGTCGGCTGCTCCTCCTCCATCATCGTCTGTACCCCGGCATCCCGATCAACCTCACTATGGTTCACCTTTGCGGTATCCATCTGAGGAGGCAAGGCCGCCACCGAATGGTTCATATCATGGGGAACGACCGACGAGTCCAGTGGTCATACCGCATCGTACATCATCCCGACTTTCGGGTAGTAGACCTATCAACATGCCTGGATCTACCGCTACGACCTATCCACCTTCTCGACCAAATAGCACGGCACCTCGATATGAACGACGGCCAATCACGCCAGCTGTCAACGGGCATCATACACACGATGCCAATGGTGGTAGTTCGAGAGCGGGGACGCCAGCCATGGATATGGTTGGGCGTCCTGTCAGTAGAGCCTCTGCTGCCGCTGCTAACGCCGCCAACCTTCGGTACGCCCCAGATGAAGTTGTTGCTCGGCGGTTGGCTAGAGCGTGGAATGTAGAGTCTTTGCAGCCCGATATCATCAGCGAGGCCGTTGTTCAGAGCGAGATCCAGTACAGGTCTGTATCCAGCCCTTACCCACCGTCGGGACTGTCGATGAGTCGCCCTCGCAATATTCCTGAAGATATCCCTTTGGTTGATGATCGGGAAATGCCTCATGGGCACCCTCCTCATCGAACTGCCCTGCTACCTATTCCTCCCTCTCCGCAGCCGTCAGGTGGAGGTAGTCGCGATCGTAGCAGAACTCGAACTTCCACCCCGTCTGTAAACGGATCATCCGCGTCTGCGAGTATAAACCATCGACCACGATATCCCCTTATTGAAGACGATATCGATCTGTCCCGGCCTGACGTTGTCCTCCACCATTTTCGTGAGCTCTTCATCGGCCCTCGCTCATGTCCCAGATGCGGGGCGGACATCACGTCTGAGCACCAGAGCGTAAGTCATACTCTCATTATATCTATTCTTGCATCTCAAACATGTGTTTAGATTGACCTTGCTGGTTACAAATGTCCGCCGATAGCATTGGTCGATTTTATGCACGCGCGGTGCTCCAGCTGTTCGACGATATCTTGTCGTGGCTGCTCTATCACGCTTCCCTGCCCACAAGGCTGCTCGGGGCGGTCTTCGTGTCATATTAATACATGTTGTCCGGAGGGCCGCGCAATCGCCGTTTTCGAAACGCTAGTAAGCTTCGATGATGGCTACCGCGAGCATGCACGTATCATGGGATCAGGTGGCCGAGCAGCGAGACAAGAGTTCAACGACCTTGTGGCTTCGCGAACCGTATCATCAACCGCCGAGTGGGAGAAGATGATCGTTGGGGCGATGAAGACCCTTGAAGTTTTCTTGCGGAATCCAGATGAAGAGGACGAGAATTACAAGCCCCACCCTTCTATGAAGCATCTCTTTCTCATGTCAGGTCTTCCCGAAGTGATGGAGAGTTTACTGGGCAATCGAAACGTCAGCGATTGGGTCGCCCATAGTGACGTCTATTGCGCGATGCTATCAACGCTCAAATGCATGTCCAACTCAGGCCTGTCGGACTTGCTAAAAGATCCCCTCCCCGTCATTAACCAGAGCGACGGAATCGGGAGCTGGATGCGGGGGCATGGGAAGATAACCTGGGAGTCAAGCAGCGGGAAGGACAGTATCGCTCGTTCCCCTCCCGTATACGAGGCAGTTAAGGGACTGGAGAGGCATAGACGGCCTTTATTGGAGCTTGCATCGAGGATCAAGTTTCCAGCGACGGTCAAGAAAATACAAGCACTTTGCGATGGAATCCTGTATCTTCTACTCCAGCAAATGATGGTTTAACCCACCCTGTATCAACATCTCTAGCCCCCCATAATGACCATCTTTACCACCGAAGCGGCCTCGCGTGTAACTAAACCAAACTTGGGTGGATGACGGTTGTACTTTTACCCTCCAAGACACTTTGCTTTGCTTCGGTAGTTTTGTCATGCAGCACATGTATTTTGCTATTCCGAACACCCCGCTTGATTATGAACACTGATCACCCTCTGCAATATTAAACCTTATAGCACGATCTTGGTTCTGTATCAACTGACCACCCTTCGATACGCTAATAGTAATGGGATGGCTACTACTCTGTGGTATAGCGCCCCTTGCCGTGAAACTCCACCTTTCAAGGAAGCTTTCGCCTCCCAGGGGATCGTGCCTAGATATGATGAGCCCTACTCATACCGTATGAAACCCACGAGAGGGACATCAATGTCATCTTCACCACATTGATAAATTATTGATGCAATCTGCCGAACAGGCAGGGAGGCGCCCACACACAGGTAGCCCACGCTACTTCTATACAAGACCTATTCATGGAGAAAAGCAGATGCCGGCATGGAGACATGGATCGGGAGATTGGCTACGATTACCTTTGGCTTTGGCCGAAATGGAGTTATGCCAACCCAAGGCACGCTGGGCAGCGCCGGGCTTGTACGGACCAGGACCGAGGCTAGTTGAGTTCGTCTTGTATGACACCCTCGACGGATGCATCACCTATGGAGTCTCCTGAACGTGCACGTGTCAAGTATCTGGTTTACTTACTTGATGAGACCGGAGCCTCCGATACACCGACGCAGCACGCCCAGGGATCGTTAACGGTGCTAGCTCATTTCAGTGGGCTAGATAGGCGTCATGAAACACAAAATTAGGTTCACCTAAGCGAAACGACAACACTCCCGGGCATGCGTTAGTTCCTATGAATAAAAAGAGAACACAGGTTTCGATACGCACATTTTGGTGTACAAATCTCAAACGGAACCCGAGAGGAGCTATATCCTCCATTGAGATAAAAGTTGGAAAAGTTGGAAAAAACTTTCTGCGTTTAGGAAGTTGAAGGCGATGTGATGCACTGCGCGCGTGGCGGCTATGCAGAGAAGCAAGAACGCTGTCGATGGGATTGGCAGCTAAGCCCAGCGTGGTATGATGAGAAGTCGACTTATGTGCAAAGCTCAAGCATTTCGGTATCTCATGACCCAAGTTGGTGCGGTTTCTTTCCCCGTCGTGTCGACGACCAGTGACAACTAGGCGGGGTGACAAACAGACGGGCCTGTGGCCCCACTACTGCCACGAAAATTTCCAAGAGAGACGAAGGAGGATATGGGTGTAGTACAAATATAAAGTCGTTATCCGATGAAGACTTACGACTAAGAATAGACCTAAGCCCTGAATAATTCATTTACCGTACTAAACTGTATGGCAATATAAGTAGGTACAATACAGATGCACGTAAATAACACACCGGCTAGCAATTACATGGCGGTGAGCTGGCTCACATCCTATATTCGGCTTGCGGATGGTTTAGGAACGGTGGTCTTGACATTAAAAGACAGGTTGCAACGCACGTTGCAAGTCAGCGCACCGACAAGAATTCAGCGGCGATAAGTACTTGCGAGCGGATAATCTTCAAGCCCATGTTAGTAAGTCGTTTGATAAGTATGTCCTCGCTGACATGGCGACGCTTCTCGGTTCCGCAGCCTGTTTAATTGTGATCGCCTTTGTCATGGAATTGGAAGAAACGAAAATTTCCATTGAGAAAGAGCTATTTACGGGTTTACAGTCGGATGACACCGTCGATGCCCAAGCCCCGGCCTCTGACGTCGGCCACGTCCGACTGGTCGGTGGTCGGAGGCGGCTGCGGGGAAGTTTCCGTTTTTTTCGGTACATCGACGAGCTCTTGTTCATCAAGACCATCATCGACCCCTAGTATGTGTTCCCTTTCTTCTTGAGAACCCCCACTCTCCAAATCGAATTGTCGCCGCCGAGAATGTGGGAGTGCTTGCGCTTTCGTCGGGTCAAGCTGAGCTGAGGACCCTAACCCGACCTGGGTCTGATGGCTGAAGGGATTTGTCTCTGGGCGTCCGCTTCGGTTGATTGGTCGAGGGTGTTGCGGGTGCGGCATGCCTTGGACGCTGGATTGATGGCTAACGGGATTGGTAGCCGAAGGGTTCGGCATGTGGAAGGAACCTGTTGCAATAGCTTCCCGGAGCCAGTCTATGGCATGGCGAGCGTGGTATACCATGCTGGTTAAAGAGAATTGGGGAACCTGATCGAAGCCTTGAAGCTGAAGGACGAAGCGATTGTGAAGGGTCCCAACGACAAGGTATATCATGACGAGGATTAGCGCACTGTTGTAAACAGTGTTAGTAGGCGTGTCACAATTTCTGACATGAATTGACAAACAAGGCTATCAAAATAGCGAAGAACCCCCATGGACCCCCTTCACCAGTGGGACAAGCATACTGTTTGGTGCCAACTCTATCAGCAAACCGAGCGCTTCTATCATGAATCGTCTCTACTCACATGGCTGCGCCATTCTATGAAGAACCCGCATGCCGTGTCGTCATCCTCTGGGAACTGTGCTTCAAAGCGAGGCACGCCAGCAGAGAAGACTGAGCTATCACATATGAACTTGATGGTCGTTGTCGCTCGCAGCCCGTCTGTAGATTTGCAGACCGACCCGCCGTGATAAGTGAGTAACAAATTCGAATCCTTGACCGTCAGCGTTGTATTAACCTTCCTACATTCCAGTGAGCCACCACTACTTCGCAGTGAATTGAAACATACCCTATAGAGAAGTCTCCGTGGTCTTTACGAATAAATCCAGCTACTTCCGAAGGGTCTTCTGTCTTCAAACCCCACGTCTCGTGCTGCACCGCTCTGCAAACGTTCAGAACTGCGTCGTGCCCGCCCAGTGTCTTGAACTCGTAATCCTTGCTAGAAAGAACTGCATTGTTCCAAACCTTACAGTATAGCGTAATCACTACATGCCTACCTTGCTTTAAGACGGTTAAGGTCATAATATTTCCCGTTGCTGTGAATAGTACATGGTTTTTCCTCGCTGGCGAAGGACAGAGATACACCTCCTAGGACCGAGAGCAATGTCAAGGCTGAGGACCACCGCATATGTTGAGCGAGTCGGCTGTGTGTGGTAGTCAAGTCAGAACTGGCGCTTGATCAACCGTGAGCTTGTGACTGTCACATCACAACCTTATACCCGCCCCAATCCGACCACTTTCGCCACCGACCACCATGGCCTCAATGCTATTGCGTTCGCTGCCGCGCACGGCGAGCGCAGTCCCAAGGCGCCTCATCCGTAATATATCTGCCTCAACGTCTGTACTCCAGGCTGAACCAGCGGAAACTTCGACGACGCATGCCCAAGCCAAAAATGCCTTCGACTATCACACAGTTGAAGATTTACAAGGCATGACCGCTTCGCAACTTTTAGCGGAGACTGGGTCGAGACAAGAGGCAAAAATGCGCCACTTTACGGGTGAGTTCTGTAGGTCCCTATAAATAACTGGACAGTTGGTGAATTCGACGTGCTGTTAGTGAACTTTGGGTATGTCTCATGTACTTTGCGAGGGGGAGTCTCATAACAAGCCATTAGGCCTCAACACCCTGCCGCCCATGGAGTACTACGAATGATTCTGGAGCTCAATGGAGAGGAGATTTTGCGTGCGGATCCAGTGAGTTATATCGAGTGCATCACATTGACTTCCGGTTCAATCGCGGTGCCCTTTTAGCACATTGGCCTCCTTCATCGCGGAACAGAAAAGTTGATTGAATATAAGACGTACATTCAAGCCTTGCCCTACTTTGACCGTCTGGATTATGTGTCAATGAGTAAGTATTTCGGTTCCACTTGGCTCGGTTTGCCTTATCCTTCTTCAATAGTGACCAATGAACTTTGCTATTCTATGGCCGTTGAGAAACTTCTTAACATCGAAGTTCCCGAGCGGGCGAAATGGATACGAACCATGTACGGAGAGATCACGCGTATATTGAACCGTGAGTTCGCTTCTCTCTGTTTTAGCTACCGACCTAATCGCATCTCGTAGACCTTATGGCCGTCCTCACCCACGTCATGGATGTTGGTGGTTTAACACCCTTCTTGTGGGGTTTCGAAGAGCGAGAGAAACTCATGGAGTTCTACGAACGTGTATCTGGTGCTCGACTGCACACCGCTTACGTCCGTCCTGGAGGCGTGGCCTTTGACCTTCCACACGGACTTCTTAACGATATCTTCATCTGGGCGACCCAGTTCAGCAGCCGAATAGACGAAATTGAGGAAGTCGTTACCGGGAACCGTATCTGGAAGGAGCGTACCGTTGGCGTAGGCGTTGTGACAGCGAAGCAAGCGATGGACTACTCGTTCACTGGTGTTATGCTGCGTGGGAGTGGCGTACCATGGGATTTGAGGAAGGCTCACCCATACGATAAGTATGATGAAGTACGCGACATGCCCTTAATAAGGATTTATCACTCACATATGTTTGAACGTCAAGGTCGAATTTGATATCCCTGTGGGCACAAACGGTGACTGCTACGATCGGTACTTGTGCCGAGTTCAAGAAATGCGAGAAAGTTTGAGGATTATCAGCCAGGTCTGTGATGCGAACTCGTCCACGCTGAAACCTGAGACTAATACTTTCTCACAATAGTGTCTCAATAAAATTCCTACTGGTGCGGTTAAGGTCGATGATCACAAGCTCGTCCCTCCTCCGCGGGCATCCATGAAAGAAAGCATGGAGTCCCTTATCCACCATTTCAAGGTAATCTTTGGCGACCGTAGCTGTCGGGAATGTATATTCACAAGATTCCCCGTAGATCTTCAGCGAGGGATATTCCGTTCCACCAGGCGAGACTTACAGTGCAATTGAGGCGCCGAAGGGTGAAATGGGTGTCTATCTTGTATCGTGCGTCTGATACATCCGCGGACTTACTGTTCTCTGGACTACAAGCTAACCTATCAAATCGCAGGGACGGAACAAATCGTCCATACCGATGCAGTATCCGTGCCCCAGGTTTTGCGCATCTCGCCGGTTCGGATTTCATGATGAGACGTATGCTCCATCTCCTTCCACCAGACTTTACCTTCGCTGACTCTAATTTCTTTAATTAGATGTCAGCTATTTTTCTGTGATTTCTGGTTTGTTCTATCTAACCTTTCCACCCCGATACAGCACATGTTGGCCGATGCCGTTGCTATTATTGGAACTATGGTAGGCTTCACCCTGTGCGTTTCCGCGGACATCACTGACAATTGCATGTAGGACTTGGTGTTTGGCGAGGTCGATCGGTAGGCACACCTGTAGATTATGCCATAGAACAAGACACATCTTCGTAATCATCACTGGGGCGCTGCTTTCTCCTACGTTAGTGGCGTTTTTCTGCTCAGCAGATACTGCCAAAGGAAACTTGCAATGCCCGCTAACAGCCGATGACTTGGTTAGTTTCGTCAGCAAGTCCGCGTTGTCAAGTATGAGGCAGCCCTGTATCAGTGAGACGATCTATTGTATACGTCTTGGTTCAGGCCTCCGGAAGTTCAGTAACTGCTAAAAATAATCAGGGGTGCCAATATGCTGTAGAGCAAGGCCATTAGAACGGAACCGACGTCTGATAGAGAATTTTCAAGGTCATTATGGAACTCAATTTACTTACTTCTTGGCTATCTGAAGCGAGCAAGACTCAGTACAACCCGTTGGGTAGACCATCGGTGGACCACTTGAAGGTGATCCGAAGCACTTTCAGACCACAATTTGGATAGTTCAAATGGAATCCTCACAGCCATCACTACGGGAGGCGTCCCTGGGACGGCAGATAAGGACCGCTTGCAATCCAAACTCCCATACGTTGGATCGATTTACTCTGAGGACCAAAACGACACGACACGACACGGAAGACTTACGGAACCATCCATCCGCATCTGCATGGCACGTCGCATGATTTACTGGACACCGGCTTTCGAAACATCGACGGTCGGACGTTACCGAGACAGAATGTGTCCTTTCACAGAAGACTGCGACCCGCTCAGTCAGGTGCGGGGGATTACTGATGTAAAAGCGGAGCTTGCTGATCATGATCAACAGTAACAGCAACTTGCACAAGCTTGTACTTATTGGAACTGGATCCTATGACAGTGAAGTACACGATTTGTGACACTCTTCTGGCTCGGGATGGTCTTATGAGGTGAAATGACCTGGGATGTCGTAGACACCTTTCTGATCCTTCTATATGTTGATTACGCCTGATACGGGTATTGGATAATCAGTGGCCAGTTTCCGAGCGACCGCCGTTGTGTGCGCATCGAGGAGGTATCCAAATCCTAATTCAGTGCACCGACATCAGATAAGCGCTCTGCCGTAACGTGTAACCATCCAACTACATACAGTTCAGGGCAAAGGTTGGAATTGGACCGCACTATGTCAGCCCTCCTCAAAGCAGTATGTCGTTCCATGGAACGAATCGCCCCTCTTCGCTTGGCAGAAAAATGGGACAATGTTTGGAATTGCTGATTAGTATATTTTGGAATCATGGCTTACGTTGATGGCTTGTGTAGGTCGGATTGCTTCTAGGTTGGTGGGATTTACTCGTTTGATTTATGACCAATGCTCATTATTCTATTTTTTTGACAGAATCTCCCGTTGTCCATTCGGGGCGAAATAAAGTATTATTGACCATCGAGTAAGGCGTCCACTACCCGCGTGGGGCGTAACTCACATATGGCTATAGCTTGACACCAGCTGTTCTGGAAGAGTCGTTAAGGGAAAGGGTGTCCGTCATTGTTGCCTACCATCCGCCGATTTTCAGACCCCTTCAAACGCTCACCCTCTCCAACCCACTGCAGGCGTCGCTTCTCAAGTGTGTCGCAGAAGGCATCTCCATTTACTCTCCGCACACTTCGCTAGACAGCGTGTGGGGAGGAGTGAATGATTGGTTAGGCGAGGGTGTTCTCGGTTCGGCGAGTGTGCAGGCTGGGAAAATCGAGTCCCTCGTTGGCGACAAAATTGGCCCCGATGGAGAAACAAAGGGGGCCGAAGGCAGACTCGTTACTCTCAGCGAGCCGATCACCATGAGCGACCTAGAGTCTAGGATCAAACAGCATTTGGGTCTGGAGAGAAGTGAGTGGGCGTTTGTTTCGATTATCTCGTTGCGTGGTTATTGTCGCCGATGCGGAGCCGCTCTGATGCGACGAAATGCTCCCTATCACCCACAACTACTAACACTCTTATCGCAGTCCAAGTCGGGTACGGCACAGATGCGGGGAGGCACGGTGTTATCAGCACCATAGCCATCTGCGCTGGGTCAGGAGGGTCGATGCTAGTGGGTAAAAAGGCCGATGTCTATTTCACCGGAGAAATGGCGCATGTGAGTAGTCTAAACAGCAGATGTGGGCCGTAGCCTCGCTCACGTTTGCATTGCAGCATGAAGTCCTTGCTTCAATTGCTAGCGGAACAAACGTGGTCCTATGTAAGTCGTAGGGTCGCCGCCGGTCCATCAAAAACATCTAACCGATTTCTTCAGGCGGCCATACCAATACTGAACGCGGATATCTGCCGGTCCTTGCTGCATGGCTCAACGAAGAATTTCAAACCCAGGAGACGGATGGCGACTTGAAGGGGGTTGACGTCGTTATTAGTCAAGCAGATAAACACCCATTGTTGTTGGTGTAAACGAGGGAGTAACAGAGTATCCGCAACTCAGGTGCTCAAGAAGTCGTTAAATGAAGACTCCATTTGTGCGCTTGGCTGGCGTTAGGGAGATGTCTCGCAAGCGCCTTTGTGCTACATTGATCTGAGCTACAAATATGTATCATTCGTTCTGCGGACGTTTCTTTCGGGTTTCGAAAGCGTGTGTTATCTCTGACCATTAGGCCCCTCAAGTTGCGAATGCGGCCCGGAACGCCAGACGCTGAAAGTATGCTTTGTTCAAGCTCAAGACCTTGTCGGCCGACGAGCCAAGATAAATCAGTGGAGCAGAACGAAACATGCACCACCCCAACAGTTCAAGGTTGTTTCGTGAAATCACCACGAGGCATGGTGCTGGTTTTAATTTCGATCATTGATCACGAAGTTGGCTCCCTATAACTTACTTGACTGGTGGTATGCGCTGGACGTTCGCTGAGAGGATATGAACAAAGCGATAGGCATGGCCTCGTTGCGCCTTTCCTCCATAGACCATTTCTAGCATCGCTGTCATGTGTCGGGTTTCAATTGAGAGCTTAATCTCCGCTGTAAGCCAGCAAAGTGAAAACCCCAAAGCCGGACAAAACTACAAAACCGGCGTTTGTCGCCTTTTGACCAAATTCGTGGAGCTTGAACCCCACAAAACGTTGAAGCACTTCGCAAGGACAGATTCGTATCCTTCGGCTGCCCTTCGGTACTTTTAGTTCGCAATGTGACGTACATGAAAGAAAGTAATATTCACGCTACCGGTGTACTCAAGGATGTGCGTAGGAACAAAGCAACGACACGCTGGGGAGACGTAGGTGCGAGTATCGGTTCGGTTCGGAAATTGGAACAAATGTGTAGCACTGGAGTCCGAGTAAAATTCATTATAGGCCGGCCTAAAACAGCGGTTGAGTTGTAGACGGTGACGCCAGGACCAGATGAGAGCATGGCGAGGAAGTTACGCTCATGCGTTGTCCACCCGAACTTTAAAAAACGCGAAGAAGTACACTGTAGCTTCATTTCCGGTTGACAGTAACTTCGCTCATAGGCACAGAGCCGGCATTCTGCTCGATGGGTCCATGGCCTTCATTTCCGGGAGGAAGAACGGCGGCGAGCTCATCTGCGTGGTCCAGCAGGCTGGTCTGCTGTCCAGTCTTTAATAGACAAAGATTCTGGTCCACTGGTCATGCTTTTGACGTCGGCCTAGGAGCAGCGGGGCCGGTCCACGAAAATCTTGCGATCCATCGAGGGCGACGAAGGGGGTGAGGGCTCGCGACAAGGGGATATAGTGGAATATTCCACGGGAGGGTGAGGGTGCACTTGCGGGTTGGCCAAGCGGGCGGTAAATCGAGGAGGTAAGCTAACCAGGAACCACGCTCTAACGCCAAACGCGCGATAAGGAGCAAAGCTACCATTTGTAGGTTAGCCAAGAATTTGTGAGAACAGATGAGAACCTGTCAAGAGTCGTTAAGTCAGCTGCAGTAGAACGGCTGAGCGCTGAGATTATTCACCACAGATCCGTTGGTTGGGTACGTTGACAGGCTACAGCAACTTCCGCGTTGCGCTTTAACCCGATTAGCTGTAATCATCACCGTGTTTCACAGCGCCACCGAATCATGACTATGTAGTGATTGCCATTGTTCTTTTACCATGCCAGTGCCCACACTGCGTCATTTGTTTCTTGTTTTCGACTTCGCTTTTGAAATCCGATATCTTAGATTTGTGAGATGATGCGCCCGCCCGGCATCGAAATTTTCCTGAAGATCAAAACAAAGGAAAGGTGAGTCAGTATATTCGGCCGCCTACTTTGGAATCCTGGTTGTAAAGTTCTAGTGGTGGAAAGTTCGCAACCAAGTCACGCTCATCATCGACCGTGGGAAAGAGGGTCAGGTGATTGAACGCGAGGGCTGAACCTGAACCACTGTGCCCAACGTCCACCGCGACTTGCTTCAATCCACCACAGTGATCAGCTCGAAATCCACTTGGAACCACAGGCAACAGACTATTTCTCGCCTTGAACCCGAGTAATCACCTTATTCTGCAAAGACGGGCGAGATCCAGCTATGGTTCGTGACTTGTCTGACGAGTTGAGCCTACGGCACCTTCCAGACATCTCAGATGCTTCATTTTCAATGGAACTTCCGACTGGGAACTCCCCCGATACTCTCCTCCTTGCCGAACGGTCAGACTTCATACACGTCGCCGAAATCACTTTCGGGTGTCTCGCCGAAGCCACACCATCTCGTACCTCGACGCTAGGCCAGGTCACACCGAAGCCATTCAACAATGCACCCCAGAACTCACATCGACACGGACATCAACAAATTGATCCCATTGCTCCAGAACTTGTGGCGACTGTCATCCAAACTTCGATAACACCGCCAGATATTCGGTTGCCTTCGCTGTTGTATGAGAAGCCGAACCAGCGCCAGATGAAGCGCAAGGGTAACGTCGTCGACGACGATAGCGGTGAAGGGGGCTCCGGAACTCTACGAACGTTCCAGAAGAAGCTGGATCGTAGAGCGGGGCTGGTCAAACTACCTGGTGAGAGCTCGAACCCGAGTGAGCGTAATACCAATGGTGCAAAGAAACCGCTTGTTCGCCACATTCCTGGACTAAGTAACAGCAAAGAAGCCAACGACGCGAATCCGACAGCATTGCAATCGGTACGTAACATAGTACAAGTGATGAATTTGTCAATTTTAGACTTATTTTCTCATGCTGTCTTCGCCTGTTGGATAGAAGCCTTCCGATTTCCAAGCAACGTTTCCAACTGCTAAAGGCAAATACTCTCCGATAGAACGTATTGCATCGCAACACGATAACACTGAGCAGACGGCTCGCGCTGACAAAGGCAGCACCTCCCCCGACAAGTTCGCCACCGTCGCCTTCGACGATGACAACTTCAACCCAGATATTAGCTCTATTTCGGTAGCCGCACCCATTGCTAAGCGCCTTCTTGAATACACTCAGAATTATATTCCTTCTCCTATAAGGTACGCGTACCTCATTCCTTCACTTTCGTCATACGCTGAGAAGACATCCGTGTCCATTTGCCGGCACTTTGTTCCATCAGCCCGGGTAAACCGACTGAGCAGCATCAAATCGTTCTCGACCGCCTGCCTGAGCAAGCCTGCGATTTGCCCCATCCTCCAGGCACAGCCCAAGCTTTGCATGGCGACGATGGTCCTCTGACCCTTTCCCAACTCTCTCCACGGAAAGAAACTCAAGCTGTCGAACCTACCGCCGGCGCTCCTCCTTCACCACTCCGGACGTCCCTCAAGCGGTCACCCGATACCAATACTAAAGCTCCCCAGGCTAAACGACCCAAGCTGACGTCCACATGCAGAAGAATTTCCTTATCTGTTCTTGGGCGTGCTCGGAATCCTACTAAGCCTGACGCTTCTGCTCACAAGATGGTGGGCCTAAAGCCGAGACGGATCGCTTCTGCTTCTTCTGCCCTCCCATCTGGCCGAGGCAAATTATCAAATCAGGTGTCGTCGTTGTCGAAGAAAAGCCAGTCACAGAAGGAGAAGGCCAAGAAGGTCTTGCCTCGCGTCAATTCTTCCCAACGATCCTTGCGGGATTCGGAAAAGGAAAACGAAGGGACGCCACATGACAGTACCCCGCACGTTGGGCTTTCCGGTGTAGGAGGTCGGAATAAGGCAGGAGTAAGTGTCTACGTTGATCCTGATCTGCTCACATGTCTGGGATTGTCCGATTAATTGACGTTCTTCGCTCAGCCCAGTGCATCTGTCCCATGCAACCCCAGACCACCTGCTGTTCCAGGGTCATCGACTGTGCGATCTCAATATTCGAACGGTCACAGCAACAACAGCAAGTCCCTCAATAATATCGTCGAATCCAGAGCTCAGAGCCGAAGTCAAAGTCACCGCGATAAATGGTTCCATCCAGTCCCTGATTTCAAAGCTCTCCACGCGATGCACGAATCGACGGTCGCTAATCGGAGAGGTCAGATCGCGCCTGTTATCCCCGCACCCATTCAATTCCAAACGGATATTCGGGCAAAAAAGAGGGAGAAGTTTGATGAGATGGTTAGGGAGAAGGAGAGGGAGAAGCAACTTATGGAGGAACGAAGGGAACGGGAGAGAGCGCTCGAGGAGGAGAAGGAGGTTATGCTGATGAGGAGGAAGGCTATTCCGAGAGCACACGAGGTACCTGAATGGTACAAGGACGCGCCCAAACGAAAGAATGGGGGTGCTACTGTCAAGGACGGAACGTAAGAAAGCGAGAACGCTATTCACTAGACCCACTTCTTCGGTATACAATATGTCCCCACCATGTCCTTCCTTTTCGTGGGCCTGCTGCAACCTATTCTTGTCTCGCTTGAGTGATTGCTACGCCCTGGGCTATTTCAGATTCGTTGCTTGGTAGAGGTGATCTGGCACGAGGCCCAAGGCCCATGTATTACGACATCCTCTTTCTTTCTACCCTTTTGACCTCCCTCGATCGATCTGAATCCAAGTGTGGTAGGTGTGCGCGTATGTAATGAATTGCCTTAGCCTTCAGATGAATGAAGTGCTGTCGCACTGATCACAACAGCAGGCCCTGCGTGAAAGGGTTCATCACGCGTCCAATCTTTCCGAAGGCTGCGGGGGTTCGGTTTCGACACGGCTTTCAATCAATTCCTTTCACAGCACCGTTCGACCAATTCGAAGGAAGTATCTTATCTTTGTGTCAAGAACGCGGCACGCTCAAAATCTACAAATCCAAATCGTCATACGATCCCGAAGCCGAATTGATGGCCAGCTGCCTCCCTCCCTCAGGCACGTTCACAGCGCAATATCTTGTAGGTCTTAGGACTACTCACGCGCACTGGGCAAGTGATCATGATTTGTGATTTGTGACCTGCCTGAGTAAGAATATTCCGTGCGCAGCCAGCGCATTTAGATTCTGAATCCGAAATACCACAGCGCCGGACGCTCCACTTAGTCCAGCGTTCGACGTTATAACTGTACATGGATGTGTATCTGTGTTTCCCTCGTCGTTAACCGGGTGTTCGCACACTACTCATCTTGGTCTAGCATGCCAATGGGGCGGTCGATCTGGAAAGAAAAAACAGACTAACCTGCTTGCCAACTAATACAGTGTTTGTGCCGATTGTCGTGCATCAACGCCGATCCGATACGATGGAATTCGACAAAGGGGGATTAAGACCACCGGGTTTTCTCTGAAGGTGTCGTATATCCGTTGGGTGTATATAACCGTGAATAACGGTACCTTTGACAGAGCCTGACAGCGTTTGTTGTGAGTGACTTGCTGTGTTTGTTTCTCCTTTGAAGCATACGAGTTTGACGGGGCTCGTGGATAAGCTCGTGTTGAGCTCGTGGTTGTTCCTATGATCAGTGTTATTCAGATTAGAATTTGGACCGACCGGATGATGAGCGTAAGTAGGGCAGAGGAGGGAGGCTCCGCTCGATCAAGTCACGTCCCAAACAAGCCTAGCTTCGAAAAATCGTGGACAGGCGGTGCAATATAATAAATCTCAATTTATAGTAAATCTCTTTGTTTTTAAAAGGAAGAAACTGCCAGATATGGACTAGATTAGTGGTCATCTCCATATTGGGAAGTTTGGACAGAAAAACGAGTTCCAGGACGGACTGGTTTGGCCCGATTTGTAGCCTTTGTGTGAGCGCCACCATGCGCCTCGGGCGATCTGAACAGGAATGATGCCGATGAACCAACTGCCACAATCCGAATCTCTCTCTGTCTCTATGTGTGAGTCTGCGACAGACCGGAATGCATAAAAGCCAGCCCGATTTCATCACCCAAATGCCATAGCCTCTCCTCCACTTCAGCTCTTCAACAACACTCGTCCTCATCGTGTCATGTGTTCTCCAACCACTTTATCCGTCGCCGCCATCTCAGCGACCGCCACCACAGCCCATCGCCCAAACGACGCCGACGCCCTCTGCTCCCCATCCTCCGCCTCAGCCACCATCATCTCATCAGCGCTGTCAATACCAACCAACTGCAGCGCCCCGCAATGCTGCCACTGCGGCTGGAGGGGATCTCACGCGCCAAACTGCCCTTTCAAATAAAGGCTGCATCCGCACTGTATCTTGTACTTGTTTTCTTGTGGGTATTCCTGTCATCAATCCCGCACTCCGCCCACACTAACCTAATCACTTGTCTTGTAGGCTGTCATAATTATTCGCCCAATCGTGCTATCGATCCATACTGCTACCTAATCATCACGTCGTTGTACAACCACGCACGATTAATGCTGCCTTGTCGGTTCGTTTGAAGAAGCTCTGGAAGTCGACATCCGCCAACGTCCGAGGGCCCTCACCCTTGCCCTTGCACTTTCGCCGAAGTCTGAAGTCTACTCGTTGGAGGTGTGGAGTGTGTAGGAGTCGACCGCAGCCTGTTTATGCACTGCAAATTGCGCATGCGCTTGAAGAAGCCCCAAGGACCACGGTAGCGCGTCAGAGTCGAGAGGGAATGAGGAGAGGGGGTTCTCGCACTATAGACGCGTTTATGCGTAACGGAACAGTCGCGCATCTCCGCACTTTTGCATGTATGTATTTATTATCCCATACCATCCATCCATCCATCATCCATTTCATCCCAATCTTGTTGTCCTTTCTTGCACACACATTTGTATGAATGGTAGACTCATCTTGTAACCGCTAATCAAACTCTTATCATTTCCACACGTTTACTATACAGTAAGCCATAACTTGCATACGCATCTGAATATTAAACTATTCTGCCTTCAACGTCGTGTGATGCACAATTCCTGAGTACTGGGCCTGATCGTGGTTCCGGAGCGTCGAGAACATACAGCAACTGACAGCAAATACGCCTGAAATGTTTTACCATTTGTCGTTGGACGTTCGACACGTACTCCTTACGTAGAATAACTCAATAACCAATGTCTTCTCAGTTCTTGGATTCGAAAGAATGCAAATATCCCCGCAGCTGATCCCTGTATCCCCGCATCCCCGCATCGATCCCCACATTACCCTGTTCTGCCATCCTGGCGAGTCCTTTCCCATCCCTCGCGCTCGTGCTGTCCAATCCACGTTGGCACCGGTGACCTGCATGACCTTTGCATAACGTAACTCAACGACCACTGGCCCATTAGGCCAACTTCCCAAATCCAGCTTCTCACCTTACTGATCAACGCCATTTTTCTCGTTTCGGTAGGGTGTTAGTAATCTCTTCAGACTCACTCGTACTCACTGGTCCTGCTTCTTGACGATTTCTTATCTGCTGCTTGATCAGTTGACTCCGAAATCACTCTATCCGAAATCGCTCTAGCCCAAATCCAATTGAGATGCCCATGTCGCCCATCGACTTCGATCTTGCACCTGCATGATGATGCGCATGCGGGTGTGAGTGCGAGACGTCGCAGTCTGACGTGATCTCGGATCTGCTAGGTGCTGAGGTACTTCGGTAGACTCTTAAGTAGTGTGGCACGCACGATGGAGGCGAGGTGGAATTCAGGAGATGCCAGCGTCAGGGGTCTTGGCGCCAGCTCCTGATAGCTCCTTACTTCCCCTATCGCGGATTCGTGTCACGCGCTACTTCGGCATCGTCCTCCGTCCTCCTTGACGGTCTGGTGAGCCCACTCCTGCTCGTACCATCACCAATCAAAACCGATAATCAAAACAACAACTCCACCACCATCAGCAGCACCCACCGCCTCAAAATTTCAACCGCATCGACTGTATTCTTCCGTTTGCTTTTCGTGGCGTGAATCGACTCTGCATGTTCCGTCTCCACAACACGTTGCTGTTGCCAGCCTTCCCAACTACATTCTAGATACGCTAGTGTGAGCGATGTGGGGTAAAACACGAAGCTTGTGAGTTTCTTTGAGCTCGAACATGAGCTTGAACATGACACGGGGCACGCAAGTGCCAGTGCTTCGGATCAGGATAGTAATTTTGTGAGCATTGAATATTGGCTATTGAGTGCGAGCGCGAGCTGATTGATCATGGCGATTGTGGGTGATTGGGGCTTCGTCGCCATCGTGCAAATGTTCCAGAGATCTCACAGAGTCGCGGTGACTCGTTCGTTTCAGCAATTCAAGGCCTTCTTTGCTACAGACTTCTGTGAACTCTCTTCTTTCGGAGACGGACGATAGTTAGGATAAACCATTGAACCGCTGGGAGGTATGTGCCTTGTCAGCCTAGGCCCCGCATGCCGACGCTTCTAACATGCTTCGACCCAAAGACGACTCCTTCAAATCTCGTAATAGGAAGATACTATCGTGCCCCTCCATGACGAACGGTTTGACGCGATAGGGTCCAGGGGCTTGGGATCCAACCAACACCAAGAGCGAAGCAAGCAACACTCATCAATTGTGCACGTCCGGACAACTCACAATAACCCGCGTAGATGCGGAATGGTGGGCCGTATCCCGTATATGTGCAATATACTTGACGGGTAAGCTGGCTCGGCGAGTGTGGGGAGAGGTGCGCTCCACCTTCCCCACATACGATCAATTGTCTCAGAGCAATATCACTCATTCGTAGACTCCAGCTCCTTGAATTTATATGTATAACAAGGCGGTCCACATTTCAATTCAATTTCAATCGGACGCGCAAGAGATTGATTTGATCCACAAAGCATGACGTCTATTTTTTTATTTCTTTGTTCCCAGATTCTTTCGTCCGCGGGGGTATAACTCTACGGTACATCATATGTAAGTGTGCGGGAACATTGCCACAGTAAGGGCAGAAAGCCGATCAAGAATCGATCATGCGATCCTGCAATATAGGCGAGGAATGCAGACGATGACGAGATCACGGCAGTTCGTCCGTCGGACTAGGTCGATTTTTTGTAGCAAACAATAACGACGCCAATGGTCAGTTTGAGCCATTGGCGCTACTGGCCGTCGGCCGATGGAAGGACATCAAGGCTCAAATTAGAGGAAAGAATGGAGAATGGAGGCTGTACATGTACGTTATAGACTTACCACCGTCGTATTGTGCTATGTTCCTTGATCCAGGCTTGAGTTCTCTCCGTGGATATGCGGCATGTACGTATACGTATAGTACACGTTCTGCCTTTCTCAGCGGAACGCCAGCATCAACAGCTCTGAGCGCCATCGATACGCTACAACCGATGTCTAACGTTGGATTTCCGGATTTCGAATTTGCGATGCATGAAGTCACCGCTCTCGGAATCATTCATTCACAGCATGCATCACTGATCGTTCTTCTTTTTCCTTCCTTTTCTTTGCTATTCCGGGAGCGGGTGCCTTATCCACCAC